CATTTGAGCTTTTCTTGTGCTTCAGGTCAGAACACAGCTCATTCCCTTTGAAATACTGGAAGAAAATCTAAATAATACATCTTTAAGCACTAATAATTTACCATCATTGAGAAAATTGAATAAAACCAGCGAATACAAATCAAACAGTGATACTCTGGTAGTCTGCTTTTTATTTTGATAGCACCCTATACAGATAAACTCCACAACAAACAATAACAAATGCAACTGATCCTAATCCTTTATGGATCCAGTCAAACTTACAGTTACAGTGGTAAAATATTATGCACTGATTGATACAGTGCATTTACCATCATTGAGAAAATTGAATAAAACCAGCGAATACAAATCAAACAGTGATACTCTGGTAGTCTGCTTTTTATTTTGATAGCACCCTATACAGATAAACTCCACAACAAACAATAACAAATGCAACTGATCCTAATCCTTTATGGATCCAGTCAAACTTACAGTTACAGTGGTAAAATATTATGCACTGATTGATACAGTGCACAGTAAAAATATAGTAAAAGTGATATGTAATATTAAAAAGTATAAGTAGTACAAGTTGTAGTAAAGTGAATAATATAAAAAGCGAGTACAATAGTATATAATAGATTTTTTAATAGCACAAATTATATGTATAATACCATAATAAATAAATGAATAACAATAGATAGCAATAGCAAGTAGAATATGTAATATCAAGGGTGGAATAATACAGAGTAGACAATAATGAAGAATAAATTAATAGTAAATTATAAAGTAAAATAAATAATCATGAAATGTAGTTTTATAATAGTATTTGTGTAATAATTATTAAACAAAGACACAACTAATGACTTGACAAAAAAATTGTGGTTGTGAATTCCAAATTGTGTTTAATTAATGAGCTCCTTGAGTATAATTTATATATAATAAAAAATCCTCTGAATCAATCTCAGCTCAAGGTACACATTTTATTTCATTTTTTAGTTCTAGCTTTCCCTAGGAATAGAGTGGTTTAGTTGTGCTGACAAAACCTGCCTAATAAAGACTAATTCTCCACCGCTTCCCTCAAGATTTTCCTATATTTTATTCAATTAATTAGTAAAATAATGTAAACAACTTGACAATGTATGACCAGGGTAATTCTGGCCATTCATTCAGGGCTATTCTGGGTTTTAACTAGTACAAATACAACATTAGCTGTGGAAGTATAGCCTACTATCTTGGAAATGCAGAGAACGGGCTTTCTTCAGCTTTCCTTAAGGCGTGCGTTGTCCTGTTTGCAATTGGCTAAAAAGGGAAAACAATATATATATATATATATATATATAATAAGTCGGTGAGCGTGATTTGACCAAGTACAACATGTTCCTGGATAAACATCCTTGTTGATTTCAACTGTTTGCTCACAGGACACCTTGTTTGTTATGCACTTTACACTCTGTACTTGCTTCATAAGCACTGACACAGATGTACTAGCAGCACTTTCTTCATCTTGTACCACCTTCTCATTTATCGTGTCTTGCTTCGTGCGTGTACTTCCATTTTCGGGACAGGCACGAGCCAAGTGTCCGGTTTTGTGAGATATATCCAGCTGCAGGCCCGCAGAACCAGCAGCAGTTACAGAACCGCAGTCACAGAACCGCAGCCACAGAACCGGAAGTGAGGGGCGGAGTTATTTACAACGAGATAAGCATGGCGGAGAGCGCGGTACGTGAATAGTCTCTAATGTTTTTGCTGTCATATGGTAAATAATTGTCATATATATTAAGTTAAGCGTTTATCTGCTAAATACTTAATTTGTGCTTGGCCTTGTTGTCTTTTTGAAGCTTCAATTTGTTGTCATAGTTTATTGTATAGAACTTTTTTTCTGCAGATGTTTCGATTAATTTTCGGATCACGTGTTGTAAATGGGCCTAGTGTGAAGTTTTGAAGACGTTAATTATTCATATATAAATAGTTTGTTTTACTTGCATTGTTTGTGAGTTAGTGTTACCTTATAGTTTAGTTATTTTAATCCCATCTGTCAATGTTGAGATAATTGTGTGGTGCTTTCATCTCCTGTAGAGACACATAACCATCCAGAGTGGCAACACATTACCTGAGCTGCAGCAGTGCAACAAGTGTTGCAGTAATTATCACTGCCCTTTTTGCTCAAACTGGGTGTTTAAGCCAGCCAAGTTGGTTAAAGTAAAAACTCATCTTCAAAGCCACTTCAGCAAGGCAGTTGTCTGTGGAGGTATGACTATCTTGAGTTGTTTGTATAATATATGTACTCACAATTTGCAAACAAAAACAACTTCCAACTTCAGCCACTGCAGCTCTGCCCACACCAGCAGTGAGAGACACACCATCTCCAACCTCTCCAGTGCTGACCACACCATCTCCAGCTACTGCAGCATTGACCACACCAGCAGTCTCCTCAAGAAGGGTTTGTGTGCGGCCTGTGATACAAAAAAGATGCCCCGTTTGCAATATCCTCATTAATAAAGTTAACCTTAAGTCTTAATATATCCTGATGCAAGTCATTGTATGTAATTATCCATTTTTTACTATTACAGCAGAACATGAAATGGCGTGTAAGATCAAACATCTTTCTGCCAATAGAGTTTGTTGGGATTGTCTGCCAAGCCATAGGCAATCAGCCATGGTATGTGAATGACAGTTTTCAGTTTTATTTGATGTCGCAATGGCACTCCCACATTAAATCAAAACTGTTTAATTAATTCATTAATTTATTTATTTATTTTTCTTCTCTCATTTGTCTTTAAGCTTGAATGGGCTTTGGGGACAGGCGACAAAGATGAGACAATTGCTGAAGTCGGGAACTTTGTTCTGAAAAGGAAAGATTTCTGGACTCTAGGTCTCAATGAGCAGTTGGAGGCAACAGTGAGTTGACAAAGTAACACACAATAACAATAAGAAATGTCTGTGACTCTTTACAGTTCTTTTTTTTTTTTTATTGCAGATTGCAAACAGCTGTCTTGAGGTAATTGCATTGGTGGCTAAGAAACGAGTAAGTATTTGTAAAGATGCAGATCTCAAATAGCCAGAGACACACAGTTGTCTAGCTTGTGTATAGTCTTACATGGATATGTTATGTTGCAGGGAATGGATGTGTGGACAGCTAATGCATATGTTGTGGTGACCTGGTTTTTATAATGAGTGAAGAGGAGAAGGAAAAGGCCCTCAACAATCTCCATGAACAAACTGAAGCTTCCAGAGTGCCCTTCACATTTAATTTTGTGTTCAGGGATGACATGGAGCTATTTTTGCAGGAATGTCTTGACAAAATGGGCCTTAGAGTAAATTGTTCATTTGATACATCTTAATTTAGAATTAATGCAATATTGTCATGACAAAATGTGCCCAAGAGGGAGTTGTTCGTTTTGTACGTTTTCATTTTCATTTATGCAGGATTGTCATGGCAGAATAGGCCTAATGGTGAATTGTTCAGTTGATAAACTGTTTGTGTTTTGTGCGTTTAGTTTTTCATTGAAATGTTTTAGTTTTCATTTAGAAAAATGCATGATTCTTGTGATTAAAGTATATTTAATATAAAATGGCCATGAGTCCCTAGCATTATTTTTAATATCATTAACAGGAAATAACTTGTGTAATACAATGAAAAGAATGACTATATACAATTATATTACACACGATTAATGTTTTAAAATGTTTAATATATCGTTATACGATGCAAGCATACAATAAAGTATGACGTTTCTTGTGAAATAAAAGCAAATTACGCTAGGTGGCGCTGCTCTGTTAAGAACATAAGCCCCGCCCCTCACTTCCGGTTCTGTGGCTGCGGTTTTGTAACTGCTGCGGGTCTGCAGCTGGATACTATTGGGTCGAGCGGCCAATGAGGCGTCTAGGTATTTATTATGTCTATGTTCCTAGCAACGACAACCGCGTTAAAATCTATTGAGAAAAGAAGCAAACCACTTACAAGCTGCTGTCCTCTTCTGTTCGGCTGCCTCTTCTGTATATCAAATGTATATCACATTGCATTAACTACAGTATACTTTATATATAAAACATAAAAATATTATATTAGATACAAATTAGGGACAGATATATTACAAAGATGTCACATTATATTATAATATAGGCTATATGTAATATATATATATATATTACACAAATATATTTTTACTGTTTAATATATTTTTCTGGTAATTTTCTTCATTTACTGTGTTAATGGTAACGTGTTATTTCCATTGGACAGATAAGAATGCTTATACACTCAAATAAATTCCCCCAAAAATAAAGAAATAAACAACCAGGCTTTGAGGCAGGACGCATGTCCCCAAGGTTCAAGGGGATGGCAATAATTGTAAAAAGCATCTGGTTTTAATGCACTGTTGGCTAGAGCGTAATAAGTAATCAGTCTGTTCGACATTGCTGTGAGAGGCAGTGCGTGTCTGCTGTGTGTGTGTGTGCTCTCCGTCCAGAGTGCCCGTGCATCCGTCTGTCCCGGAACAGAATCTCTCTGTATTCCTCTTTCCTGTCATTTGAAACTTTCAGCATATAGACAGACACCGTCAGCCCTTGCAAACCCTGCCAGGCCCAGACCGTCTGCAGATCACCAACGTCAAACTCAACGTCCAGGATGGATGTTCTAATGAAGGGATTCTCCATGGCCAAGGAAGGAGTGGTGGCCGCCGCTGAGAAAACTAAAGCTGGAGTTGAAGAGGCAGCTCTCAGGACCAAAGAAGGGGTCATGTATGTGGGTAAGTGCAGATATTTGCAGATATTGTGTGTGTGTGTGTGTGTGTGTGTGTGTGTGTGTGTGTGTGTCCCACAAAGGGTAAAATAATAAAATAATGCAGCATTGACAGTGATAATAATAGATGTGTTCTATAAAGGTCTCTGTAATTATTTCCAATAGGTTTAATGCAGATGTGATGGATGAGTCTGCCTTCCATTAGTATGTGTATGTATGTGTGTGTGTGTGTGTGTGTGTGTGTGTGTGTGGAGGAGAGGAGGGTCTCAGTGAGTTTGTGCTCCAGTCTGCTGAGGAGCTGTGAGAGTGTACATGGAAGCAGCTGCGAATGTGAGATTCACGATTGATAAAAAATGCTGCAAAAATGGTGCAGGGAACGAAACCTGGGGTGTGGTGAAAGAGAGAGTTTTATGGTATTGCAGACCTGAACGGGACAAAGTAAAAGCTCATAAAAACAATGACAAGATCAGTGTGCACTAATATTTCAGGTGTATTATTATCATAATAATACATTATGATACACTGTCTTGCACATATTTTTTTTTCTATTTAATTCAATAAAGTCCAACATGCTAATTATACATACTATTAACAATGTAACAAGTAGTAATTTGTAACAAAAATGGTGCTGTTAATAATTTATTATTAATGCATAAAAATGCATTGTGCACTACAATGCTGCAGAAATGCCATTTTCAGGCAAAGATTTGCTTTTTTACCCTTTTTGACACATTTCCTGCATGCATTCATGTGTGTGAGAATAAGTTATTTTCCTGTTATGTACCTGTCCAATACAATATAATAATTCCAACTTCATCAACTAACCGTCTAGACACAATATTGTCCTGCACGCACTATAAAATGTTGTTAATGTGCATGTGTATTAGAGAGAAAGTAAGCAGGGGCATATAGAGCGGATCAGCTGAGCACTGCAGCATTTACTCCCTCCCTCTCTGCTCTCCCCATCTCCATACGTGTGTGCCGATGCAGCAGGATTTGCCTGGTTGTGAGTGGACTGTGATGACTAACCCTCACCATCCCTCTACGCCACCATAGACAGCGAGAGAGAGATGGAGAAATGAGGTGCAGTGCTCGTGTTATGTCATAGGCTTGCAGCCCCATAGCATCTGCTTATGCTCATCAGCACAGAAATGAACAGATGGCGTAGAGAACATGACAGAGGTAGAAAATACAAACTACAAACACAATTCAACGCAAAACCATGACTATGTAGTATTCATTGCATTCCCACCTGGATGGAATGCATCTCAAAATGAGCTATACACCATAGAGTGTTCAAGAAAACACTTGAAACTTTCTGTCCTTGATGTCATTGTCATCACCTATAACCTGACAGTTGTAATCTTACCTAATCCAATCAGATCAACAATCAACCCAGCGTGCATTTGGGTGTGATGTAATCTTTATAAGCACTTCTCCACCAAGGTCACCTGTGCAGAGGTCACAGGCCTGCAAATCTGCTCTCACTCTAGTGCATGTATTGTCAGGGGGTTTCAGAGTGCTTAAATGGCATTATGTGCACCAGGGCGTGAATTCAATACTCAGGTTGATTGTTACGAAGGCAGGTTACTTATTCTCCATTTGGGAGAGAGAAAGCTACTGCATTTGGTAGCCTACTATGAATGGCCTTTCATTATTCATGGCTGAAGATGCAGTGTCGTCATCATGGTTGTATGACACAGTAGAGATCTCCTCAACTGCTGGAGCAAACGCTTTATCTACAAGCAGCTCAAATTCATCCAGCAAACTGATATGAAAAAGTCAGTTTGAAAAGCAAACAGTGCAGATAGACTTTGCCATGAAATAAAGAGATCTCCCTTAAGGCACATACAGAAAGAACGCAGGAGAGCAGATGTGCTCAGCCATGCAGAATCTACTGAAAACTGAGCTTTCACATAAAGAAAGAGAGTGAGAGAAGAGAACTCTAAGAACAGAGATGGACAGACTAATGTATAAGTATAAATGAAAGACAGAGTAATATGAAAGCAGTTTGCATTTAAATATTACACTATCTATGTGATGAATTTTTAAATGCTTGATGACAGCAAGGCTCTAATATACAGTATGTAAGAGAATGATATTGAGGGTATTTGTAAGACTGACAGACAAACTCTTTGAAGCGTAGTGTCATTGCCTGTTAATGAAGCATTTGGTATCTTATCTGCTTTGAAGTGGTGCTGGAATTTCTGTCTGTGAATAGAGACATAAACAGGTTTAAATAATGACATTAGATTGATATCAAGACTTAAAGGGGTCCTATTATGCGTTTTCACTTTTTCAACTTTAGTTAGTCTGTAATGTTGCTGTTTGAGCATAAAAAAGATCTGCAAAGTTACAAAGCTCAAAGTCCACTTCAAAAGGAGATATTTTATTTAACAGAAATCACTTTTCAAAAACTACAAGGAACGACTCGTTTGGACTACAACGCATACTTTCCGGGATTTGTGATATCACAAATATCGACGAATGCGCTGCACTAGAATCTAGTACACCCCCAAAACAAAATCAAGACTTTGTAAAAGAGCATAATAGGACCCCTTTAACTCCTGATATTTTACAAAAACGGTCTAAATATGACAATTACTACCATTTGGGGTCAGTGTTTTTTCTTTTTTCTTCTTTTATTAAATAATGTTATTTAGCAAAGATATTAAATTGTTTAAAAACTGACAGTAAAGACTTTTTACATAGTAAAAAAAAAAATCAAACCATTTTTCATTAAAGAATCCTGAAAAAAAAATTTATCAGGGTTTCCACAATATTATCATTTTTAACGTTTATAATTAAATGTTGTTTTATTAACAAGGCTCGGGAGGAGCACGATCAGATAATCAACCATTTCGGCACAGGTGGAACTCGTTTAGTTAATCAGCTTAACTAGCACAATACGTATATATATATATATATATATATATACAGCCAACTTACCTCTGTCCCATGACAGTTTTCCAGCATCCCTCCTCCACCCCAGCTCCTCACTATTAAACTATTCTCATCTCATACTAGGGATTGGGGTAGTTCTCTGGGTTCGGGCTATTTTCCGAGCTCGGAGCCCTCCCTTAGGACAGCACGCCAAATATACTCACTATTTGCTCAATCCAATTATATGTAAGTGCGAACTCGTGACACAAAATGTTTCTTGAGCACAAAAAAAGCATAATAGAATGATTTCTGAAGGATTGTAAGACACTTTAGACTGCAGTAATGATTACTGAATTCAGCTTTGCCATCACGGGAATAAATTACATTTTAAAATATATATTTTAAATTGTAATAATATTGTAATATTATAATAATAATATTTCACAATATTACTGTTTTTGTCTCAGTGTCTCAGGTATGTTGCATATTGTTGAAAATCTGTTGTATGTTGTTAATGTTCAATCTGTTTCACATATTTTTTATTCTGTTTTCACTTGTCATTATAATGTATAGTAGATTGACACCTATCTACTCTATGAACTATCCAGCAATCTTAAAAAATGCATGCTGTTCTAAAACATTGTCTATTGTTATGTCCATATCAATGTAAAAACTGCATATTTCACATGTTGACATAGAATAGCCATAACTAGGATGGCTTTGCCTCTATTTATATGGAACTTTTATTTGGTGTTTTTGTACCAATCCGCAATTTCTGAAGAACATTTCATGTTTGTTTCAGGCAACAAGACAAAGGAGGGAATGGTGTCAGGCGTAAACACAGGTGAGAAATAAATATGTGTGCATCTTGAGAGAATAGAAACTGAGAATTGAGAAGTCATTTACATTAACTCTCTGTAATATCGACCTTCACAGTTGCCCAGAGGACCACCGACCAGGCGAATATTGTCGGTGAAACAGCGGTAGGCAGCACTAATGAAGTTGGACAGAAGACAGTAGAGGGACTGGAGAATGTTGCTGCAACAACCGGCCTAGTCAACCCGGTAAGTGACTGCCCGTTTATGCTCTTCTCAACCAGCACTAGATGTCACCCTTTCTCCAAAATCAAATCAAATTCACATCTTTTAATTAACATATTGTCTTTTATTCAATCTTTCTTGTGTATTGCATTTTAAAACACCTTTAAATTACTTAAGACAAGCCTAAGGGATCTATGTCTAATCTGGCATAACCACAAACTCGACATCTATTTAACTTTAAAACACAGTTTTGTTTAATAATACTGCACTAAACTACATATACTGTATAAATACTGGTATTTTGTGTCTAACACATTCTGTTTTGTTTTTCCCTGTTTACAATTGTGCTGTTAACAGGATGAGGCTTTATATGAGGTGCTTATTAAATTGGGTTTGGAATGGTTGATTTGGTTTGTAGAGAGAAGTGCTAGTAGCCTGTGAATGTGGCATATATATACTCGATGCTGCATTTGAGACTGAGCTTTAACTTTAGCTGACTGCTGTATCACACCACACTGATGGGGCGAATGTACGCAACCATCCATATAACAGCAGAGTTCAGTTACCTTCATTCAATCCCCTTTGGAGTCATTCTGCACAGAATTGGGAAGGCAGCAGATCAGTGTTATTTTAGTATTATTTATGAATATGTTTGATTTTGTTTTCATTTTAATTTTAGTTTGTTTTAGTAAGTTTTTATGTGTTTTTGTCATTTCTTTTAAATATTTTTATTTAGCTTTCTTTCTTTTTTTTTCATTTTAGTTTTAGTAATTACTACAACTTATTTTATATCAGTTAGTTGCCAAGGCAACATTTCTAATTTTTAAGTTTTTTAAGTTTGAGATTTTCATCTAGTACTTCTATTTTGTTTTAGTTCAGCTTCATTTTAATTAAATATTATTAATAGTTTAATAGTTTTAGTTTTAGTAACAACACTGGCACTGATGTACTGAATGAACTGCAGTGATCTTTAATAACAAAACTAAATTGATACACTAATACCATAATCAAGAGAGGCAAATCTTCCCTTAACACATGTGAGTGACTTGAATGACAAGCAAATGACAGATCTGTCTTCATATTTACCAGTCTTTCATTCCAAATGCATCAACTAACAACCTGGGAACTCTATTGTGATAATTACTCATCTTCATTCTGGCAGGACAGTACAGATGCAATAAAATAGTATGATTCATCAAGTAAATGATGCTAAACAGTTACACTTTCACATCCTCAGACAGCTTACTAATGGCAGTGTGCCATTGCATTCTGCATTTCTAACTGCTCGTGGATGCATGCTTTTGTTTTCCCTGTGCGATATTCTTGCTACTTGCTGATGCTCCTCTTGAAAATACTGTTGAATGATGGTCTTTAAAAAAAAATCAATAATATTAATTTTTTTAATGTTTGGACATTGTGCATATATAGGAAAGATGGCTTATCTAGGACCAAAGTTTGGCCTTCAGAGCGTTACTTAAAATACATAAGATGTTTGTCTTCAGAATCTCTCATGAAAATGTAAGCACTTATTACTTGAAACAACTTTCCTTTTTGGCACATTACAGATTGCAACATTTTGTTGAATAGCCTGTTTAACTTTGAAATACGTTAGATTATGAAAGTAAAATTGGTTGCAAACGGCATTTTATGTTGATTTTGAGAGCTGTAAGAAAAGATTTTGTGGGGGATGTAAAGAAGAAAGAGAGTAGACTAAGACTGTTGTGAGGCAGAAAGTCCTTGGAGGAGGACAGAGTGTCTGGACCTGACAGTGACTCAGCTGAACAGCTCAGCAGAGACCGAACAAACAGAGGCAGAGACAGAGACAGAAGATGTGCCTGCCAGCTGCATTCACCTTCCACAGGAACTCCATGGCCATCGTTTACATCCCTCCCTCCGTCCCTCCCTCCATCTCTGCAGAGACAGCAGTCAACAGACATTGTCCCTCTGCACAGGCAGTGTCTGAGAGGCCTGTGGCTGTGCTGCATCCCTGCATGGATATTATTTAGTATGGCTGTTTAACATGACAAAAGCTGTTGTTGCACTCCATATGGAGATTTACTGCTGAATATATGAATGCCAGATGGATCTAAAAGCAGAAAGCAGCTGTATCTTGGATTTTAATGGTGTCTGTATTTCACAGGGTGACTTCTCTCATGGGGGCGGCATGGAAGGAGACGGTGGAGAGGTGAGAACAGAGAAAAAGCACTTTCTATGAAAACCCTTCACTTTGGTCTCCCATTATTTATTTGTTTTTTCATTTTTAAAGCATTGGAGAGACAAATCTCATATTTTTGTAATTAAAAAAACCTATTAGATATGTTAATGAATGAATTTGTAACAACAACAAAAAAGTAGCATGTTGCATACCATAAAAGAAACACATTAAACTTCTCCCCATGTATATAATTCTGTTCAAAACAGTAATATGTGACCCTGGACCACAAAACCAGTCTTAAGTCGCACAGGTATATTTGTAGCAATATCCAACAATACATTGTATGGGTCAAAATTATCCATTTTTCTTTTATGCCAAAAATCATTAGGATATTAAGTAAAGATCATGTTCCATGAAAATATTTTGTAAATGTCCTTCCGTAAATATATCAAAACTTAATTTTTGATTGGTAATATGCATTGCTAAGGACTTCTTTTGGACAACTTTAAAGGCGATTTTCTCGATATTTAGATTTTTGCACCCTCAGATTCCAGATTTTCAAATAGTTGTATCTCAGCCATATATTGTCCTATCCTAACAAACCATACATCAGTGGAAAGCTTATTTATCCAGCTTTCAGATGTATAAATCCCAATTTCAAAAAAAAAAAAAATGGACCCTTTTGACTGGTTTTGTGGTCCTGGGTCACATATTGTTAAATAATATAATATATTACTGTTTACCATATTAACATTTCTTGTTATTATCAATGTCGAAAACTGCAACTGTGATACATTTTTTTCGTGAGTCTTTGATTCTTTGAATAACAATATTTAAAAACTTCTGTAACAATACAAATGTCTTTACTTTCACTTTTTTCAATTTAAGGTATTCATACTAAATAAAAGTATGAATTTCTTTAAAAAAATTAAATAAAATCCTAATGACCCCAAATTTTCAACAGTAGTATATTAATTATTTATTATTATTTAAATATATAATTATAAGATTTATAAGATTCTGTACTATATATTATTATATATAAAACAAATAGTTTATTGCTAGAAAATTAGAAGTTATGTGTCCCCCCCGTGGGCAGTTGATGTTGAAAAGACATCAACATTGACGTCAAAAAACAGGTAATAATATGCAAATCAAACTGACATCAAAAGCTTAACATGACGTTGATTTGATGTAAATTGAACATCAAACATATAGCCTACATATACATTAAACCAATTTCAGTGTGGGATTAACTTCCTATTTTCAGCCAATTACCAGTGGAAGAAATTGCCATGCAAACCGAATTTAAAATGATGTTACAGCATCTTTATCAAGTCTTGACCAATATTTGACGTTAAATTGATATCAAGGTGCCGGCCGTGTTTGCATGCCGATTTAAATTTTTTAATTTGACCTGCAATCCTGACAGTTAAGGTTAAGCACTTACTTTCACTGACTATTTCCTGAAAAAATAATGACTTTATTGCGAACTCTCTTCATGGAACGTGTCCAAAGCATCTGCATCTGTGTAGATAAGAATACCAGTATTACACCATATATAAAATTACTTAATCGGTGTTCTTTCTGTTCATCAGGGTTATTAGTCCAGAGGCCTGAAGCTGAAACAGTCCCCTCTCTTCCCTCTGACTCTCCACCTCTGAGTTTCTGCTCCAAAGCCTCACCCCTTCCAGACCCCAGATGTTACTGATATTTTTTGTGACTGTATGGAAAACCAAGTTGAAAAAGACTTTCCCTGAGCCCTGTAGCCGTTAGATGTGTGACGCTTCCCCACCTCTCCATCTGTGGTGTCGTCATGCTGTTCTTTAGTGTTATTGTCATTCCTTAACCTGTCCACACCTCATCTAAAACACACACAAACACTCATACATGGACAGGAACCGTGAAGCCCAGTGGCTGATATCAGAGGTTGAAGTGGTCTTTTAGGAGCATGGCTGAAAGAAAAAAAAAAAGAAACCTGCATGACCAGTAATGTAAGAAAAGCAATACATCTCATTTCATCAGGGCATGTAGCAATGTGTGTCTGGATCTTTGTGAGATCATAGCCATGTTTCAATTTATTTAGTCTTGAGAATGCTGCAATGTACACAATAAGTTGTGTGTACATTAAGAGATATATTACATTCCTTTAGTTCAGTATGTGTGCAGAATGGAGTTACTGTGTGCTTGACCAATAGACTTACCATGTGATTTGTTAGAGTACGAACAAATATGTTTATTCACAAAATGTGAACGCATACTGTATACATAGATACACGATTATCCGTTTTGATGTAGCTGTGCTAGACTTGCATTTCTTCATTAGCTTGTACACATGAGATTTGGGCTTGAATGAGGTTTGCGTTGAAAAAGGGTGTTGAATCCTTCGGCTGCTAGGACAAGGAGCCTTTGAATGTTATAGAAAGAGATCAAATCTTCAAACACATCCTGTTTTGTCCTGATTTTGTTGCAATGCATGTTAAGTCAGTGTGCGATCATGAATTTGTGATGCCCGCAATGTTAAAGCAATACTAAAGCACCATTGCAAAGTTTGTTATTGGTCTGTTCTGTAGCACTGTGCTGTGCTGACTCAAGGGAATGCTAAAGTGTAGATCTTTACCAATAAGATGACGTCTTCATCTTCATTTAGCCTTGCCGTCATGGCGACCCAAACCCCGCCCTTGTCCTGTCACTCAACGGTGTGTTCAGATCCACCCCAGGCTTGTGTCTGCTGTAGGTAACTAGGACAAAGCTATCAAACATAGCAGTCTGTTCTTTTTTTTGAAGCCACAAAAAAACTGAAGACTGCATGTTGCCTTATCAGCACTCCTATATTCACTTACACACACTCACACATATATACAGTATATACACACACAAAGCTGATCAAAACACAGAAACACAATCTTCTCGAGCTTTTTTCTTTTAGCTTTTCTCTCTTTGCTCTCTCTGGAACACACATACACAGACAAACAAATGTCCCACATACCTTTTATGTTGGCATCAAAGCAGGCAAGCTGATTTTATAAACTATATAAGTGAAATAAAGAGTTTTGTTGAAATCTATGCCACTGAGTCAAATTTGATTTTGTGAGCAGGATTGGAGAAGTGTCCTTTGCACTACAAAATACACTGGGGGAAAAAAAGTGCAGAAACAGTTTTCACTCAGAAATTGCTAGACAATTTCAAAATTAATTATAAAGAAATGCCAAGTAACACTGACTTAACATGAAGTTTCAAAGTAGAAAACTGAAACAGTATTTTCTTGTAAAATGTACTCCAATAATCTGTTTTAATTGAAAACTGTATATGTATGTATATATATATTGATGTATGTATATATATATATATATACATACATACATGCACTACAACTACTACTACACATTTACATACTTTTACATACCCCTTGCAAAATCTGTAAAATATTATTTTATTTTATATTATTGAAATATTAAAATAGTATTTTGATTTACATATTTGTACAACCTATATTTATATATTGCACATGACATCATAACTAAAATTGCACACTCTTTTATCCTTTTCAAAGGTTTACATATTATTGCTTATTAATAAATTTAGTGTAGCTTCCTCAAACATCATTGATGGTTTTCTGCCTTTTGTGCTAGTTGTGTTTAAATCTCTCAATAGCATCATTGAGAATCCTGTCAGAATCCAGAGCAAGTAAAGCGATGTGCACTATGTACAATTTAAGTAACACATTTTATTGCATACTGTTTCAACTATACCCAGGGGCGCAACTGCACATTTGCTGAGGGGTATGCAAGATCAGTGTTGGCCCCCCCTGTATTCTAGCCCCTAACACTAACTCCCGCAGAAAACTTTCTTCAATGACCAAAATACCATTAACTAGCTTGGGCATGGAAGGATACAGACTCATCAGGGGTGAAAAAAGTGACAAAGGTTCAAATCCCCTCCACCATTTTCACTATATGGGGAAAAAAAAGAAAAATGAAAAGTGTGTTGTATAACATCCCTTTTAACTCCTGATGGCTTTTTTCCATTTTTACTTATAGAGATAATTCATGGAAAATTTGCCATGCTTAAGTGGAAGATTTCTGCCACCTGGTAGAAATACAAAAACTATTGAAATGAATGTCATGATATTCCCACTATGACCACTAGATGACATCAGAGGATAATTTACCATTTCCATACCGTAATATAGCGCTTTTCACATGTTTTGATTTTGGATTTATATTTAGACATTATAAAATCACTATTATAACATTTAAAAATCACTTCATGTCAAAGATCAGCATTGTTTTATACCAAGTATGAAGTAGCAAGAGTTTTAAAAAAACTCATTGGATCTACTTGAATCACAAATGTCCTATTTTTAATTCAAAACGGCATTTTTTTTATATCCTTGTTAATAATCTTCTCAGTTCCTTTCAAATGTAAATCAAATGCCAATTCACAAACATCGTGACTTTTTTATTTTTTGAGAGATACTCAGAAATGATCTTATATTAACGTTAATCACTTTGCCCTCTTAGGCAATAACGTTAAATGTTGCATGACTTTATAGAGTAAGCTTACCAATTTCTGTTAGTTAACTTGGATATTGCTGTCCTTATTTTAATGCATTGTTCTTTTTCCCCTTTGTCTTTTCTGTTCTGCGCCCCAGAGCGTTTCTGCACCAGTAATGTGTCGAAGGGTGAGCAGTTGATATGTACTCAGTTTATTAAACGTTTCGAACTAATTAAAAATGCTAAAAACTGTTAAATAAAAATGTTTCATTACATTATTTTTAACAACTAAGCTTTTTATTATTTGCAACATTTTATCACAGAATGATTTCGGCAAAATGGCGCCCCCCTCTGTTTGGTGCCCCTATATGCACAGCATATACTGCATACCCCGTTTTTGCGCCACTGTCCATACCTAGTAGTCCATATACACCAAAAAATTGGTGATGAAACAATTTTTACTAATCAATTGATAGTAAATTTCACAAATAATTACAAAGACACAAGTAACATGTTAAATTAAACATGAAATGAAGTAGAAAGACTGTAAAACATAGTCCAATAATCTTTGTTTTATTTACAACTACAAAAAAATCAGTTACAACCAAAACTACTATCTATAGGGAGCAGTAATTTACAGCTATATATTTTTGATCATAATAGAGCCAGTTGTTATTTGGGGGATAAAATTAAAAAAATATATATTTTCTATTTTATTCTATTTTTAAACCTAGTTTGAAAAAGTCCAAATAAACTTCCTTTATGATGCCAATAAACTTTAGGGGATAAAGGGTAATGAACTGTAAAGTATGTTTTTATGATAGCACTATAGGATCAAGATCTGCACTGCTATTCAACAAACAAACATTAAGCCAAAACACATTCACAGTTTCACACAGACCACAAACAATTATCCACCACTCCTTAAGCACATTACCCTCTAGGGATCCATCAGCACACACCCAGTATGCAGCGAAAACTACTGAGTCTAGTTACTGAGACATTTGCGTTGGGGGAAAAAATGAGGCAAGAAGCAAATCTGTTTGCGCATGCTTGGTTATGTATCTTTTGACCAAATATTGATTAAAGGAATTGTTCACCCAAAACTGAAAATTAACTGTACTCACCCTCAGGCCATCTAAGATGTAGATGAGTTTTTTTGCTTATCAGAACAGATTTGGAGAAATTAGGCATTCATCATTCATTTGCTCACCAATGGATCCTCTGCAGTGAATGGGTGCCGTCAGAATGAGAGTCCAAACAGCTAAAGCATCACAATAATCCACATAACGCAAAAAGCAAATCTCTTGAAGGAAAAATTGCTGTTAATTTACTCACCCTCAGGCCATCCAAGATGACATTTTAGGTTACTTTTTTTCTTCAGTAGAACAGGAAAGAAGATTTTTAACTGAAACCGTTGTCCTTGGTGATTCATACACTGCATGTCTGTGGCTGCTGGTTTTTGAAAGTAAAAAAAAACAAACATATACAGGCATGACCAAATTAATACCCGTGGCTCCTGACAATACATTGAGGTCTTACGAAGCAAAACGATTGGTCTGTGCAAGAAACTGAATTTTATTTATACAATTTTTAGCTTTAATCCACAGCCTGGGCAAATGGTTTTCAGCACATTCACAGTTGTCTTGTGCATAAACTTCTTGTCGCACATTGACGTATGCACTGGCTCCTACTCACACGTAAGCTGATGCTGTTTATTTACAATGGAGAGCGAGGAGTCACGTGAAGACCTTCACCAGCAGTACCAGCGTCTGACGCTCACAATGTACAGAACATTGAATTTTATGCACAGCCCTACTTGTTTGAACTAGAATACTCAGAATACAAAATTAAGAAAGATTAAGAAAACTTAATTTATTATATTTAAATTGTATCCTAGATTTTCAGTGTGGTGTTCACTTCACAATGGAGGTTTCTGTTCCTTTGCACCTGAATTTCAACAAACCCACCACCCATAAACATATTCTTTAGCATCAAAATGCATAAGACAAAAAAACATTAGGAAAATTATCTCAAATCATTTCAGATACTGTAAATCTCAAAAACCGAACCAGTGTAAAATTGCCTACAGCTTGACGCATTTTGCAACATAAATTCTTAGGCTGCTTCCTTTATGAGTCACGCAACCCTGTATTCACCCAAACAATCATTTACCAACAGTGAAAGCTTGTATTTCCAGTATAGTATTGTGTGTGATGCCACACCCTGTATACAGTACAAACAATACTTCTGAGGGGGTTCATATTGACGTTTAATGTCTTTTTTTAGCAATTAAATGAGTTTATAACTTCCTTCAGCTCTGAATACTCCTTTTATGCGTGAGAAGAGAAATACAGACATGAAGTGACAGAGATGAATAATGCGTTAAACAACGCAGCCTATAAGTACGAACATATCTGATGCACACACAGTTCCTGACTGACATCAGACACGAAACATGGACTTCATCAAGGGTGCAGCTGATGGGCATGTGGACAAGATAATCGATCAGGCTGGTAAGTTCAAGACATATTTTATAAGCTTTATTCAATGCATCTATGCACTGTTGAAGGTTACAGTATGGCATTTGAAAATTAAAAACCTGAAATTCATGCCTGAAAACTAATGTAGCAAATTATATTAATTGCAAGAAGTGCTAGTAATTTATGTAATTTAAAGCTTACTTTTCCTAAAACGTACAGGCAAGACCATTAACTTTTATAAATGTTACAGCTGATGTTGCCAAAGAGAAAGTTGGGGCAATAATCGGAGGAGACAAGAAAAAGGCAGGAGGTGCAAAAGACCAGAAAGAGGGCGGAGGTAATATTTTAGTTTCCTTTGATAGGAGACCTTGGAAAGATACTTAACTCTCCCAGTATCATATTCATCCAGTTTGAAACTTTCCGATTAATACATTATGTCTGCAGGCATTGGCAATGTGTTGAGTGGCGCAATCGGCAAAGCTGCTACAGACACTTCAGCCAAAAGTGCCACTGATCAGGCTATGGACATTGGGAAGAGTCTGTTCAAGTGAGCCTGCATACTTTGAACACAAACTTTCTCACTCATCACTGGACTCTAACTGGACCCCACAATCCTGCATTTTTTAAACTTTGTATGGCAACACTGAATGTTTCTCCAGAAGCTGAATGTTTTATGTCATCTTGAAACAGGCAATGCCTATATTTCTGTTTTCTGCACCTTTTGAGATCTGTAAATTGAAAAAAAAAAAAAAAAAGTTTAATTTCAGAATGCATTAATATTTAAAGCACACATTCATAAATATGCTGTAGTGAAAGTTAATTATAATTACTAATTACACAAAGCCAATAAAATTGATGCTCAACATTATGGAAATAAAGAACTAAAGAGCTGTTGCTCAGTGGGAGATTGAGTTACCTTACATGGTGAAGTTATGTTTTTTTGTTGTTGTTTTTTTAATGCTTGAAATGATTTCTGTAAAATTGTCAAACATGATGTCATGTTTTAAGATAAGAAAAACCAACTAATACTACAAAACATCACAGAATTAATAAAATCCGTTAGTGATACTTACTGTTGTTTGTGCTGTTGTTGTCCCACCAAAATGATGTCACTTCCTTGTGGATTTCCTTCAGGAACTGATTTTGGCTAGATAAAAGGGACATTTAAAAAAGAATACTAATAATGATAAAAACCTTATAAATTGACTACATAGCACGTTCAAGTCATTTCAGATAGATCATGATCATGACACACAAACGGCAACTCAAACAGGATACTGCGTTTTTTTCTTTGAGCCACATATTTGTTTAAATTATTGTTTTCGTTTTCAAAAACAGCTAGCTAGGTTGCATTTACAGAATAGTAGTAGTTTACAATTACGAATATATATATTACATATATATATATTACATTCAGTTAAAGACAAGAGAAATCTTTTAGAAAATCTGTATGTTCTTGTAAAAATTGTACATCAACTAAAGAGATTTATTCCCAAGAAAACTTTTTTCTTCTGAAAGTTTGGATTTGAGAAAATGTCAAAAAAATAATAAAAAGAAATACCTACACTATTTCTCAGTTACCTGCTTTCCATGTTATAAGCAAATCATCAAAGACATGGCGAAAACGGCAATAGTCAAAGTATTTACACTATTTAAAATTCACCCTTATTTTCACTCAATTGTTAAATTACCAATATTTTAATTAATTGCCAATCCTAATAACGCCATGACAGGAATGGGAAAATGGTCTACATAGTGTGCTACATGTGGTTTTTTTGGTGACACTGAAAAAAAAAAATTAAACAGAAAATAAATTATGATCATTTGTTTTATTCTCAACAAAAAAAGGCAATATAAATTTCCAAAACACAGTTCCAGATATGGGTGCAGATAAGCTTGGTGAACAACTTCCAGCTCTCATTTAAGCCCAAGTGCTCCGGGTCCTCTAGGTTTAACAACTAGCAGATCTCTAAATGCTATGGGGTGTGAACTGCATCAGATCAAAAAAATCTGTACCTAAATGTACTGCACACTGTCAGCTAGAACTTCATTACATCTCTAGGTCAAAACATTAAGATGAGGCAAATCATGGCTGGGTTTCCCTATGTGTGATGCACTACATGAACAATATTGACAGAAAATAATTCCTCTGAGTATAAAACTCCTTCTCACAGGTGTAAGGCATCTTTAACGCTCTTCATTACTGTAGCAATAACCATGTTTAAATGGTTTGCAAGAACGAACAATAAGAATAAAGTAAATAAAACCTACCAGGACAAAAACACACTAAGTTGAAGTAAAATTTTGAGGCGAGAGGAAGCCAGGGCCAACATGACAAATTAACAGACATTTAAAACAGTGCGCTACAGCTGCATTTGAAGAGGACCACATTAGTTTACCACAGATCAATACAAAAACCAGGGACAAAATAAACAAGTTACAACTAGACACACTTGAGAAACCTGATTATTGGTGCCAGTTTGTTTTGAGACCACATCACATAGAGTGATATAGTGAAAACAGCAGCCTCAGAACAGAATAAACTGCTTTAGAGTTCTCAAACTCATGAGGACGGAGCTTCTGGGATATGACAGCATGAAGGTGTTATAATAGAGGAAATGGGGTTAGGCTGATGTAAACTCTGATATGTTAAAAAGGTTGTAGAGAGGGATCGAGAGCTTGATGGACGGTTTTGTCTTCTTTTTGCAAAGGGAATTTGGGGTCATTTATGTAAAGGTCAGGCCAGCCTCATTGTACACCTTGAAGACCTTCTCGATTGCGTTGACGTAAGCTGCCGTCCTCAAATCCAAGCCAAGGTTGTACTTGTTTGCCGTGCGCATAATTTGCTGCAAAGAAAAAATATTACTACATGAATACAGGTTTGACTACATTGAAGCTCATTTACAAAGCATGGAGGAAAAAACAGAAAGAGCGTCAATAAATAATAACGACATCTGTGCAATGGGCGAGGTGGTTTTCTTTACACAACAATCATACCACACTAGACTAAAATCTGCCTGAAGGCGAGAGCTGAATGTTGTGGATGAGTTAAAATGATCTTTCAACTGTTTCATGACAGTATAACGCTGTTATAAAGCAGCTGAGGTGGAGTCAAGGGCGGTTCCTGCTCTACCTGGTGTTGTTTTACAGACAGTATGACTGAATGCTCTATGTGTGTCAGCTTCATTATACACAACTTTTCAGTGACAATAAAAGAACTTACCCTGGCTGACCTCTCCATGGTGTAGGCAAGACCAGAGTGCACAATATCCTTCTCAGAGGCACCCTGTATGACAAACACATCACATCACATCAATGCACAAACATCACGAGGGTTAAAACTGCTGATCTTGGAGAGAACTCCAAAGCTTTGTTCACAGTGCACAAAAATCCAATTTGTTTTCAAATTCAATCTTTAGGACAGACTGACTGCACTGTCATTCTGTAAGCGATGAAATCTAGTCAATATCTGGTATATCAACATCAGTTACCAAAGTGATAACTTAAGCTCAGCATGTGTTTGTTTTTTTGCTTTGCTGACTGGTCACTAAATGGTTATGCCAAAAAAATAAAAACTACTCAAAAATTACAATAAACAAAATAAATAAAATACATTAAATAAATAGACAAAAAAAAGAGTCTGCAAAAAATCTGATTTCATCAGTGTAGTCAACATCTGGTATATCAACTTTATCTAACACTGAAACTTGCACTCAGTATGATGACTGAAATCCCAAATGTATTTATAGATGTGGGGATTGTTTTGCTCCTCAGACTATGATTCACTAAATTTAGTTTTACAAAAATAAATAAATAAAATTAAATAAAACATTAATAGAATATAGGAATAAATGAAATTAAAGAATATATATATATATATATTCAGTATTTTTTCTACACTGATAAAAAAAATTAATAATAATAATAATAGTTTTTGAAACTGAAAATGATTTGAGCACCAAATCAGCTTATTACAGTCGTTTTGGTGCATTTCTCAAAACAGAAATGAAATTCTCAAAACTACTTGTTCAACCTCCACATCATCTAGTTTGTACACTGTGTATGTATGTGTGTGTGTGTGTGTGTGTGTGTGCAATCCAAAGAAGGTAAAACATTGTGGACACTTACAGCTACACGGGCCTGGAAGTCAGCAGTGGGCACAACGGGGATGGGGCCACCCTGCTTTCCAAACTTCCTTTCAAGACTCTCTTGCACAGACACTGGACAAAAGAAAAGATAAAAATTAATTATTCAAATTCCCTCTGTTTCAGCAAAGGTTGTAAGAGTGATGTTTGATAAAATGCACATGCTGTTTCTGAGCACAACTTAAGGGTGCAAATTGTCATTCATTTACAAAGCACACTTTTGAAAAATGTTTTAGATGTTAATTATCTTAAAGCTGAATTTTGCGCTACACTGATTTGTGTTAAAAGGGACCACCACACCATCACACTGGCTACGTTTACATGCACAATTTTTGGTTCAATCGGACTGAATTCATTCCGATTGATGAACCTGAATGTAGTGTTTACATGAATGCTAAATAAAGTGATCGGGTTGATGTGCGCGCTTATGTTACAAGCTTCAAATCAGATTTTTTTTTTACATGCACACACTGCACAAATATAGAGTCTCTCACTGTTTGCACATAATAACCACTCTCCTACATGGTTTCTTTATTTGTTTTTAACAGCAGAATTAATATTTATCCATTTATGGATAAATATACATATAAACCGCTGTGCCGTGCTGCTCATATTTAATTATCACACAGTAAAAATGCCCCTCCCCGCGCCCAAATGGGTTGCCTGTGGATGAGAATCCAAAACAAGGACTGGTGGGAGGTTGTCCTGCTCCACTTCACAGTTGCCGAGTGAAAGGAGAGTTTTATAATGACAGGACACGCATTTATACAACACTTTATTCAAAAGGAAGAACCGCTCGTTCTGCGCGTCATACGTCATTACGCTATTTCTGCATCATTGCACATGCGCAGTCCTTTCAGTTTCGGGTTCAATCCGATCCGAGTGTTTACATGCACTCTCAATCGTATTAGAAAAGGAATAAACCACCCCCTTCAATCCGATCCAAATTTCATTCCGATCGAGCTCAATCGGATCGCTTAAGGTGTTTACATGAAGGCTTTTCAGTCCGATTGAGCCGTCAATCCAATTACAAATGGATTATTTGGTTGCATGTAAATGTAGCCACTGTTAGCAGTCAACTTCTGTCACACTGACACATCTCTTCAATACTCTGGCTTCCATCTCATTTAATTACTGCAATTGACATTAACGGATAATTTCTTGAAGGGCTAGCAGGCTTTGACATCTGGATGTCAATTAAATTGGTATAACCAAGGAGAGAGAGACGAAGAGAAGTTAAGCCATGTGACCCAGTACATATAGCACACAATAGCAGGGGTGGTTCAAACTATCCTGTAAGAAACATTGTCACACCCTGCTGATCACAGCTCTGCATCAGGCCTTGCCTGCATGCTAAGAATAAGTGCCAAAAGGGAGGGAGTGTTGCAAGGAAAGGGAATCAAGAAAAACGAGACCATGGAGCGTGTGACAGAGAACAACAAACACATACTCAGCAGGTGGTAGTTGGAGTCCCTCTCATACTTGAAGGTCAGACGACCGTAGCTGACGTGGTTCAGGTTCTTCAGCCACTCAAAGTAGGAGACTGTGACACCTCCAGCGTTCAGGTACATGTCCTGCACATCAAGATATAAATCATTATTCCAGTTTCTATTTTCCTGAAACACGACAGAGTTTGAGAGAATGTTGTTCTCTTACTGGAATGACCATGATGTTCCTCTCTATGAAGATCTTGTCAGCATCTGGTGTAGTGGGACCATTAGCACCTTCAGCAATAATCTGAAGCAATAAAAAAGATACATTCAGCATTGGTGAAGAACATTTAAGCATAGCAAACACATCTGGCTGATGCTGTTGGTGTCAGACCTTAGCTTTGATATTGTGAGCGTTCTTCCTGGTCAGTTGTTTCTCTCCAGCTGCAGGGATGAGGATATCGCACTCAGCTTCCAGAATGTTTCCCTCATATGGCTGAGAGTTGGGGAAGCCCACAATAGTACCATGTTGCTGAAGAGAAAGCAGAAACATATTCAAAAAACAGTTTAAGTACAGAAAAAGGGGCAAATTCTCACCAGAGATTCAGAAAAGCAATTGTACTGTAAATGGACCCTTAACTGACCAATTTGTAGTCCTCCAGCTCTTTGGGGTCCATGCCGTTGGGGTTCCAGATGCTGCCATCGATTTCAGCAATTCCCACACACTTGGCACCATAACGGTGGAGGTAACGCATGGAATGCAGACCCACATTACCGAAACCCTGCATGACATGATAGGAAACTAGGATAAATTGTGGTAAAAAAATAAATTGTGGTCCTGTTTTTCTTGGAAATGGCGCCCCCGTGTGGTTTTGATTTAGAATAGACTAGCTATCAACGGTTCTGAAGCAGGCCTCAAACTTCCAAGAGCCCTTAAGATGACTAAAAGGTATTAAAATTAACAAATTATTATTAATTTGTTAAAATAATCTAATTCTAATCCAAATCAAAAAGCTAAAAAACATGCAAAACTATTATGTAAACTAAGCAATTCTTATATATTACAATAAAAAAATTATAATAAAAAATATTTATTTCCCCCTCTTAAATAACTGTTGCTTTTAACTGAAGAACATACAGTTCTTGAAGCTTCATAAGTCACAAAAAGAATCATGATTAATTAATTTGATATCAATACTCCTAGTTTCTATTAACAAAAGAGGTTTGAAAACAAGCAGCTTTGTCATAATTATAAGAGAATTACTGGAAATAGCTTATACTGGGAAGCCTATTCACCTCATCAAAGGTATTTCTGGGAAGATGTCATGTGCATGTCAAAAGGGGAAACGCATATGGCTACTCATATCACAAAAGGACAAACGGGAAGCAGTCATACCACTCCTCTCCTGAGGCTTTGTTCGATACTAATGACTATGCTACCTCTTCTCTGTGCGGCTCTAAATCCATAACACGTGACAACATCTTCTCTTGTCTCTTCACTACACATGGCACTAAATCTTTAGAAAGAGAATGTAATTGGTGAGGCAGTAATCCCAGAGCAACAGTCGATGAGAATCCCTTCCCTCTGTAGTCTGGGCTGCACTGATTGAATTGAGTTTCGACCACACTGTGATTAAGACTGAAATTCATTATTAGAACCCAAAGACAAAACAACTAAATCTTAATCCTAGAGAATAAACCTGCAAGTTCATGGGAAAGTCAACAGATTTCACAGCTGTAAAGAAAAGCCGTTGTCTGTGGTATTTGCAGTGGGATTCTTACAGCACGTGATTTCAAGGAACTGAGATGTACTAGATGCTGACATATGGTTAACTCTTCCTTTTTTTGTGTCAGCAAAAAAATATTTAGTCAGCATATTATACTGTCACTTGGTTATTTCGGCCCAAAATTTAAATTCTGTAATCATTTACTCACCCTCATTTAGTTACAAACAAAAGTTTTGACGATGCTTCTTTTCATAAAATGAAAACATATTCTGATCAGTGGCAGACATGTTTCAACAAAGTAGTCCATATGACTTTAAAAAGTCTTCTGAAGTCATACAATAGCCTTTTGCTTTTATTTTTAGCACAACAATTCCTGGTCACTGTATGATAAAGAGCAGCATGAACATTCTGCTAAACATTTCTATTTGACTTATGGTGCTTTTCCACTGCATGGTACGGCTCGGCTCAGTTTGCGTTTCCACTGCAGTTTAGTACCGCTTTAGAGTGGGCAGGATTATATACATGTCGCTATAGTTGCGCCGCCTCTACTGCCGCGACTTCCTGAAAAACATTTTCATTCTGCGTCATCCCATCAAGCTCTCACTGGATCCGCTCCTCGGCTATCAACGAGAGGAACGTCTGTACTTCCTCAACAGACCACGAAACAGCCATTATTTTGTTGTTTAAAGGGGTGGTTCACTGTTTTTTTTATAGGCTTGATTGTGTTTATGGGGTGCAGTCTAACATGTGTTAATGCTTTGTTTGTTAAAAATTATTTTTCACATAATTTACCTTTATTCCACACTGCTCTGTCCCTTCTCCTCTGAACGCGCTGATCATTTCCTGCTTTTATGAAGCCCCGCCCTCAGAAATAGGCAATGGGCTCTGATGTTTAAAAAAAAAAAAAAAAAAAAACGCATTATTTTTTCACATAATTTACCTTTATTCCAAACCACTCTGTCCCTTCTCTGAGAAACTCGCTGATCATTTCCTGCTTTTATGAAGCCCCGCCCTCAGAAATAGGCAATGGGCTCTGATTGGTTAGCTAGCCCAGTGTGTTGTGATTAGCTAAACCGCCTCTAGTGCCCGTCTGGCTGTGCTGATTTAAATCTAGCGGGTCTAGTGTCTTGTGTCGCAAGTTCAATGACGCAGGTAGTGGCGTTTCTCTCTGGCAAATCAGTGATCAGCAGGGTTTACACGTCACATTTTGGTAACAGTACGGCTCGCTTGGAACCTCAGCTGAAATGGTAATGAAAAAAGTACCAGGTACTGGAAAACCCACCAAAAGCGAGCCGTACCGTGCCGTACCATGCAGTGGAAAAGCGCCATTACTTCACTCTACCAGTGAAGTTTTATTGTATAGAAAAACTAAGGACCAATCATTCAAATATAGTAAAGAAAACTAGTTAAAGTGAAGTTAAAAACCTCTTCAAATTGTCTTTTATACCTGAATAATAAAGGTTTTGTCAGCAAATCCAGGGGTCAGGCCTAGTTTGCTCATGTAGGAGGCTTCATTGATGAAATTCTCAATGCCATGGAAGACTCCACGACCAGTGGCTGAGATTCTGCCATGGATACCACCCTGGCTAATGGGTTTACCTGTCACACAGGCATGGGCATTGATATCCTACAGAAAGAAAGCGAGAGACACATAAACAAAACAGAAAAAATGGGCCAATTAGTGTATTATACTTTCTATTGCAGTAACACACAAATTTCAAAAACACAACAGGGTTATTATAGTTAACTACTGTAAAACTAAAACTATAAAAAACATTTTTGTCACTTGACATTAAATAAAAAAATAAACAAATAAACAAATAAACACTTATTTCAGCTAGTCACCATGGCAACATTTCATTTAGGCTAACTTGTACTAAAACTAAAACTGAAATAAAAATGAAAAACTATAGGCATATTATAGACGTGTCAAAAATGAAAAAAACACAACAAAATTACTAAAACTACATCAACTATAATGAAAATAAAAACAGAATATATGAAAATGAAAACAAATCAAAATATTCATAAAAACTATAATATGATACTAAAATGACACTGGAACATTAGTAATATTTACAAAATATTATACTGATTCTGTTTCTAATTTTACTATACAATACTAACTTTTCGGTAACATTTCATTACAATTTTTAATGTAATTACCTGTTAAGAATGTGTATCTTTAAGTCCACGTTAATGTGGAACCATTAATGAAACTGAATGTCATGGAAAATTTTCAGTTCCAGTATTTTTTTTTTAATGAAACCTGTTCTGAATAAAAACCAGTGCTTGGTTCTCAACTCAACACTTCAGCCAACACTGGTAGTCTGTTTCTCATCCAAAAACACAAGCACCAGTCAGGGCTGTTCAGAGGGTAGGAAGAGGACAACATGTGATACACTAACAACCAGAGCTCTTGGATTGGTGTGAAGGGGTCTTGTGCTGTCGTTAGGGTACGTGAGAGGGGTCACTCTCTAAGCGCAGCTTACAAGCTTCCCCAAGGGCAGCTACTGTAGCCCTATTTATGTCACTGAATGAGGAAACGGCATCGAGACAGGAGACCTGTGCTCTCCTCACAGATGACACACAACAGTGGCCAGGGCAGAGGTTACTGCAGGGGACGAACAACATCTCAATAACATACTGTATGTATTACAGCAGCCTAATTAATTTCCGAACAAGCATACAGTCATTTTTAAATACGTATGCCATCAAATCACATCATATGCAACATAATAATCTGCTGGGCTGAGAAGAGAAATCAAAGTATCTCATTACTGCTGGACATTTAAATCAAGATGATTTGCATGTCTGATAAGTCTAAGCTTATGCAACGTTTCCCTCGACTGCTGCTGTGCACATGCGAATCTGCTGAGACTGCAGTATTAGTGAAGAATGATTATTGCCCTTTATAAACTCAACCACTGATATCATCAATCATTTGCTGTTCCCTTGTAGAACAGTGACAGAGTTTCCCTTGTGTCTCAAACACACCAGCTTTGGGACAAGCAACATTTTTAATTTGTCAGTGACAGTTGATACTGGATTTTTCATGCTCATTTCCCCTATGTTTACATTTAGATCGATGTTGATATAGTTAACTAAAACTAAAACTATTAACAATATTTTTTGTTAAAATTGAAATGAAATAAAATATAAATATAAGATGAAAAACTTTTTATTTTTATTTGAAGTATTAAAATTACTAAAATTATAAAGGGAATAAATATAAATTAAAGCTAAAGAGAAAACAAAAAAAATACTATAAAATATAAATACTTTAATGGTAAAAAATACCTTTAGATAAGTACATCTTTAAACATGCTTAACACTTTAAATGTAATCTTCAGCAAATCTCAAAATGAATATGCATTTTTCATACTGTACATTGATGACTAAATTCATTTGTACTGGTAGCATTAAGAAAACTTAGTTTTAGTGTTTTATTTTACATTTATTCAGACAAAGTATTATAGAAATGTAACATCTTCCATGTTAACAGCCATATTGTGAAATAATTATTAATCATAATTTTAATAACAGATTTTATTAAGCTACATATGCATGGGACATATGCTTAAAATACATATGCATGGGACATTTTACATGCCAGAACTAAATGAGAGTTAAGGTCAGTTTTATAAGGGTCTCAAATATTTGTCTGTGCTTGTAGCACATCTCTTAAGGCTACAGAAAAGGTAATGTTACATAAAAGGTTGCATTCTGAGGTCAAGTTGTTTCCAGGGTGACAGTGTGCTTGGATGTGACTGGACTCTTGCCTTCTCCCCATTCTGACTTTGCACAACTCTATTGTCCAAAGGATCTTTTCAGAATTAGTAAAGCTGTATATTGTTTAACACAGTCATTATTACCCTCCCATATAAAAGTAGAAAAAAGAACAAAACATGACCATTCTTTTGTTGCCATGGTGATAGTGCTAGTACTGTATTAGATGATTTAACTATGGTATGAGCCCTCTAGTAGAAATAACCCTGACCACAAGCACCACAGCAAACACAGCCTCTTTCAGCTTTAGGAATCTTCATACTCCAATGACCCAGCTTTGTTCTCTCTCTGTGTTAGCTGAAGCTGTCATCCAAAATCATATCACAAAAAGGAAAAACACTCTAAAATATGTACATATATAATAAGAAAGCAAACTGGTTGCTATTGTCCGTGTAAATAAAGCTATGACTTATCCATTTATTAGTGCACAAAGGTAAACATTACACAGTCTGTTGTATAGATAGCATAACACTATCAGAGATGGACAAACAAAGGGTGTAAGGTTGCTGATAAAGATGATGATGAAAGTGTTACTACTTACAGAAGATTCTAATCGCTGTGAACTATTGTTTTTGTAACATTAATTGCTCAGATATCCTTAATGGTATATGCTTTTTAACCTTTCAATTTAGTTAAGAGGCTAGGCATATTAATCTACAAGTGATAAAAGGGAAAAACCTCAATGGGAGTTTTATTGGCATAGTTAATAATTTAATAATGCATGTAACAATTAATAATTTAAGTGTTATAGGAGATGGACAGTTGCTTACGGTGTGGGCAATAGTGTTAGCATAGGTGTCAGCGATCCAGGACATTTCCCTCTCACCGGTGCTCATATCAGGGGCGGGTACATCAATGCCAGGTCCTGAATGCAAAAGAACAAGGGAGGGAGAGAAGAAAGAGATATTTTTACAACTTGTCAGCATTAATTGTGTCATGAAAGCAGACGGTGGTCATGTGTCCAGGCACAGGGACCACTCAGGTTTCGTATCAGTTATTATGAACTATGCTAATTGTACTTATGAATGCTTGATTGCACATCTCAGGGAAAAGTCTTTTAAGAGGCAATGCAACAAATGATCTGAGTAGGCAGCTTGTGTTGTTTTAATGGAGAGCTGGAGTTTCAGTGCCCAATCTGACGCTGTGAGAGTGCACTGCCCTTCCCCCCATACCAGTACCAGCTGCTTTGGCGAGGAAAACAGGAAGGCATCCAGATAAACAACCATGCAGACAGCCTTGCACCCTGAATACATTTCCAAAAACAGCTCCAAAGCTCCAAAGGGGGCAGGGAAGCACACAGCGGGACTTATTTTTTACAGCACCAAGGTGCTGAAGCTCTTCCGGGTTAAAAGAGCAAGGAAGCAAAGTTTATAATTCCCTGAGGATTTCCTGATGTCTCCAGAATTGTTGCAATGCAGTGATATTACAAAAGGTATCTTGTTTTTAAAAGTCGTCTCTTATGCTCACCAAGGCTGCATTTATCTGATCAAAAATGCAGTAGAGATATATGAAACACATGTGAAATCATTGTAATATGCTGATTTGGTGCATATTTATTTTTATCAATGTTGAAAACTGTTGTGCTCCTTAATATTTTTGTGGAAACAGTGATTTCAGGATTCTTTGATGAATATAAAGTTTAAAAAATAGCATTTATTTGAAATATTTTTTTTATAATATATGTAATGTAATATATAATGTCATAATTGTCACTTTTGATACAATTAATTTGTCCATGCTGGGAAAAAAAAATCTTACTAACCCAAACTTTAGGACTGAACTATATATTGTTTTATATTTTCCAGAATGCCTTAATGTAGGGGTCATGTGTGGTATTCAAAACAGTGGAGTCAAAAAGCACAAATGAATCAATAAACTCACCAATGAATCCCTTTTTGGCCAGCTCAATGGTGAATCTTCTTGTGATTTTCTCCAATTCATTATCCTGAACAGCACAAAAAAAAAAAAGTAAATAAAAATAAAAATAAAAACATCCTCAAATTATACTTTTGTCTCTGATAACTTATGACAACCATAAAAAAAAAATTCAGAAAGGACCACAGACCCTACAAATATTAAACGGAACAACAGGGAAGATCTACAGCTACACATTGAAACTTTAAATTGTGGACTCTTTATTCAGGACTTCCTGACATCCACCCTGTTGAAAAAAACAGCATATGCTGGTTAGGAATGTTTTGAAGCATGGCAGCTGGTTTGAGCTGGTTTAAGCTGGTCCTGAGCTGGTAATAAGTGGGTTATGAGCTGGTCCTGAGCAGGAGCTAGTTGCTTAGGACCAGCTTAAACCAGTTCATAACCAGCTCAGGACCAGCTTAAACCAGCTGCTGTGCTTCAAAACATACCTAACCAGCATATGCTGTTTTTTTTTTCAACAGGGCAATCAGGGAGCAATGCCCATTTTAAAGAGAAAGGAGGACTGATGGCATGAAATGCATTTCCACTTCATTAAGCCCAAGAAAAAGGCAAACAAAGCCCACAGACATGATAAAGAGTTATTTCAAGAGTCTGTGTGCTCTGAGTCTATACATGCGTGTTTGGTACTTACAGAGTAATTCCTGGGGTTGATTTTCACTCCAGCTTTAGCTCCACCAAATGGCACATCTAGAAGAAGATAAATTATGTGTAATCTATGATGATGAAGGATTTTCTGAAATCTAATATAACTCAATGATTTGAGTGTAAGAGTGATCTAATGCACAATCCAGCAATATATCAAGTGTAGAATTCACCCCAATTCTACTGGGAGGGAAAACACAAAGCTTACCCACAACAGCACATTTGTATGTCATCAGGGAGGCCAAAGCTTTAACCTCATCCACGGATACATCCATGCTGTATCGGATACCTGAAAAGGAAAAGCAAAAGGGCCCATTACAAGGAGTCAACTGGTTACCAAAACCTCAGCAGATCTTTTTTCTACCCACTAATAAGGATCAGACTCTGTAAAACACCAAGAACACACACAATGGGCTTAAACAAACAGACTTTCTGAAGCTATGCAGACCAGTTTTTTTTCTTTAGCTGTGTCTTCGTGCTGAATTGAATGAGGATAAACAGGACAGAATACGAAAACTACACTGCATAATTGAAGACTAGATCAAGTTCTAACATTTCACTTTAGTAATAAACCAAGACCACTTTGAGACTTGTGTTTTTTTTTTTTGTGCCAGTTCATGTTCAAAGGACACAAGTCACCTTTTCCAGCTATGCAGCTAAAATTGCAGCTCAACTTGTGTGCTCTGGTCACGCTCCATTAGGACAGGTGCTACCATCACTCCCTTCTAGAGAAGCTGGTGCCAAATGTTGGTTTCCTAAAGCAAGCCACAGAATGGATGTGACCTCAAAGGGCACAGAGACTGTGTCTCTAATAAAGCATATTGTATGCTACACAAACCTTGAGCACTCAATGATTTTTTCAAACAAACTATGTGTCCTATTATGTAACAGTGAATAAATATCTTTGCGAAAATAGTTGCACAGCAACTATATAAAGTTTTTATGTAGTTTTTAATTAAAGGGGTCATATGATGCGATTTCAATTTTTCCTTTCTCTTTGGAGTGTTACAAGCTCTTGGTGCATAAAGAAGATCTGTAAAGTTGCAAAGACTAAAGTCTCAAATCCAAAGAGATATTCTTTTACACCAAATACACAAAATAATGTTATTTTTAGCAGCATCATATGACCCCTTTAACATTTATCAGTGTAATCAAAAGGACGCATTTAATAATGTACATCACACACTGTTGGACCAACGGATTTCCATTTTACATACATTATGTAAAATAAAATAACAATATAAAAAAAGCAAGGTTTCCCCACACTATTGGACCAATAAATTTCTATTTATTCTTGATTTGTGGATAAGGATTGCATGAATATTCTCTGTAAAATGTTTGACTTTAAAGGCTTTATAATATAATATAATATAATATAATATTATTATTTTATTATTTTCCACAAGATAAATTAAAAAAATAAAATAAATGGAAAGTACATAATGTTCTGTCTGACCTTGAGAGAGGAGAGGGAAAGGTAATGGGGGAGTCCTGTGTATTTGTGAGTATGTGTGTGTGTTTGGGCCGGAGGCTGCAATGACTCCGCTCCTCTGCCTGGCTGCATCATCAATCTTGCCTGACTGTGTGAACGAGTGTGTCGGTCTCTGACACACACTGCCACACAGCCTGGCAGACGCATCAATCCCTTTTACAATAAACAAATAGTGCAAAAGCAGTAGAAAATAGAAAATTAGACTGGGAATAATCTGTGATATTTAATGACTGTATTAGTTCACAGTGCTTCTGTAAATGCAAATGAGAATGTCCAAATCCAAATGAGTGAAATTATGTGCTCTAATGTTTAATCATATTTAATATTCATAATACAAGTGAGAAAGCTGCCAACATACAGGCCAATACGGAACTAAACCACTGAACATGGTGTCTTTTTATAGCTGAAAAACCAATAAGAAAATCAGCCCCTCTAGGCATCATTTTGTCTGTGTTTAAAAGCTCACCAGCCGAACAGATGTGCTTTTTCCGCTATAGCTGAAATGGTCCTCATTTATACATACAGAGAGGAGGGGAAAACGATGCGAGAGAGATGGTGGGGGCTCTTGAGTGGAGGAATGACTCAGCATAGATCACCTACTGCATCCAAAGGTTGAAGAAAAAAAAAAAAACACACACACACAGGAAACCTTTCCAGCATCTCCTTCAACTCCACCTAGCGAGCCAAATGTGCTTGATCATAACCAGGATGTGCACTTCCTGCACAAATGTTTTCCATTAGTCTCGCACATAAAGGATATGCAGCCAAACATTTTTGCTGATCCAGTGATTCAGACACTCACATGCACGCTTTTGGCTAACAGATGATGAAATGCACTGAGCCATTAGCTGACAGTGTGTGATGACTGAATTGCTCTTGTACTTTGTAATGTGTACCTAATCTTGTCTATTACACATAGATAATGTCAATCACAGCACTTTTGTCAGTGGTAGTCTTTGAGCCATGGAGAATAAGTGTCTGCGTCGAATGAATGATTAAAGGGGCTGCGATTAATATCGGCAGTTTTGCTAACTTCTGACAAATTTTAACTACATGCCACCTAAACACGCAAAATGATTCACGAGCAGTGAGTGTATCTGATTGGCTGGTTTTGTGTCTGCTAATCTTAAAAAACTGAGCACATCCCACCAAAAGGCAATATTTGAGGTTTTTTGTGCGTGATATTTAAAAAGTATGCACACTTGGAATTTCATCAATTTAAGAAATTTGCTAACCAGCATTGGTTTGTGATGAGAAAATAATTTGTTAAAATTAGATGCTTATTAGCACTGGTCTTATCAGAATCACATTGATGGTGTTCATTAAAGTTGTGATGAAACGGAAATACCGACAGATATTTTCTTTTCCATATTGTGGCGTATATTCGAGTGTAATGTATTATTGAAAAAGATCAAATGTAGGGTAAGGATTTTATGCAAGGATTTTGAAATGTGGGCGTTGGATTTAAATATGGAGGCAGATGATCATGATCTTGGAGGGGTGGTAAGTAAAACACGTGCAAGCATGAATTGTTCACAATAACATCAAAACCATGCATTTACTAACTAACTACACGAGGGTGAGTAAATGATGACAGAATTTTCATGTTTTTTATGGACTATACCTTTAACTTATAAGCTAAGGTGGAGCACTGACATAAGAACAAATACACACTGGTGAGTCTCCAAATGCGGTGTGTAAATGTGAGCAGAGTGGTCCTGTCACACACAAGATGAATCAGAGCGCCTGAGCCCCACCCCCATATCCACCCTTACAACTCTCTCTCACAATACGTCACCCCACAAATCACCCACAATGCAGTGCCATGATGACATCCCCCTCCCACTCTTTGCAGCCTCAATCTCTTGATGACCACTGCTTCTTAACATCTGCTGTGAAGAATGAATGTGATTCTGTGGGCCTCACATGATTTACAACAAGAGGATGTGCCTCGGTATGGCGTAAACCCCTTTCATTGGAGTATATGCATGTTGTTGAAACAGAAAAGTAAACATGTATGGATATTTTCCCATTCCCCTCACATCTCTTCCTTATCAGATAGCACCCACCCAGGCAAATGTTTATTAACCTTCCGAACCTAACTGAATGATGTGAATGATTCTTTGTGTATTGAAAACACACAGTTAACTTGAGACAACTTGTTGCCCTTGTTTGGCATAAGGGTACAATCAGCTGCAAGTTAGTATAAACAGTTGAAACTGGGATGTTCACAATAATGACTAAACATGTCAAGCAGGAAGCATATTCTGAGGTCAAAAACCAGAGTTATCCAAAAACAAATGTAACAAACCAAGGCACAAGACAAGACAGTAATCTATTATTATTGTATAGTAAAATGTTAACGTTTGGTGTAATTGTAATTATAATAATATATTGTTTATTGTAAGTTTATTAAGAAAAATCACAAGCAAGAGTGGTCTTGTCCTGAATATCAGTCTGTGATTCAGCTATAGAGGTCTTCTGCAAAAATCTTATAAAGTTGTGGAATAATTTATTTAATTAAAAAAAATCGAATTATTTTTTTTTTTTTTTTTTGGATTGTGCTCTATATTGAAGCAGTTCATTTGACAAAATAATTGACTTACATTGCAGACTAATTGTTATTTTCATCTGACTAAAGCCAAGTTAAAAACTAAAGTTTTAACTGCAGAAGATTCAGTGCAAAAGTGTCAGGCTTCTTTCCCCAGGTAATAAATACATACACCTGTGCAGGTGCAAGGTGTGTCAAAATGATTAATTATTGACGGGGCAGGACTTGTCAAATCTATCCAAATACCACATTTAAAGCCGTACAAACATTAATAAATAAATAATAATGAATAAAAGACAACGCATATAGGTTTGCAAGTCATTATGTCAACAACTGTCAGCATGAATGTACTGCTGTGAAACCTCTTGTTGAGCAAAACACACGTAAACGGATCTGTTGTGCCTTATTACTGCACGACATAAAAACAATAATATCTCTTACCTCCTTTGCAGGGAGTTCTGTGCTGACTGTGTTGTGCCCGGTAACCCTCGATAACCTCCCATTCTCCGTTGTCTCTCTTGATGGGGAAGGACACGCTCAGGACGTGGTTGCAGGGCTTGATGATCTTGAGGATCCCCCGCACACGGTGTCTCTTCTGCTCCGGCGTTTCCCGGGTCTTCAGGTCCTCTACCAGCTTGTTTTCGACAATAGCAGCGCCGCGATCGAAGAAGCCCTCCACCATCCTGAAGAAGTTCGGGTCATCTTCCTTGTCAGCGGCATCGCTGTAGTGACGCACCCTCAGCAAAGATGAGGAAGCCGGCAGAGCGGACTCGACGCATCCCGAGGCCAGAGCGTTCCCCGCTCCGCGAGTCAGCAGCTCCCCAAAATACCGGTACATGGCGATAAGGGGCTTTGAAAGTTACGGTACAATGGAGAAAGAAGAAATGAAAGGGCGATGGTTTATCGACGAAGTGGAAAAGGAAATCGAAATGGGGGGTAAATGAACGAGACGACGGAAGCTGCCGAGCCTGCCTCGCTCAGTGTCAGAGTGACAGCGCTCATGCCGTCTCGCGCTTTAAAAGGCAGCGACGCGTTTGGAGGAGTCGCGCGAGCAGACTGAAGGTCTCTGCGTGTCAGGAGGGCGGAGGAAACGCGAGCGCTACTTTTGAATCTCTTATTCTTTTCAGCTATATTTTAATAGAAACAGATTATTTATTTTATAATACTATTATAATTATTGGTATAATTCAAGCTCACTTATAGCATTAAAACATAACTTAAAAATACGTATGTTTTCAAAATGACTTTTTTTCAGTTAGAAACATTAATAAAGTATTATATAAGTAAATGTATAATTTTTGAATTGCAATTTATAACTTAATGTATTAACTAAATAGACCAAGAAGACTCTTGTGTTGGTAATCTGTTAAGATGTTAGCATTACTACTACTACTACTACTACTATTTATTATTATAATTATATAGCACACATATTCTGTCATACACACAGAATAGAAAACCTGTATACATTATTATGTTATTTCTTTTAATTTATAATTTTGTTCTGTTTTATACAGGTATAACAAAGCAAAATCAAAGTCCTTTCATTTTCTCCCTGGAATCTGTCACCTGTCCACCAGCCACAAGGTCATTGCTAAATTAATGTGTTCCTGCTGTGATATTCCAAATCAAACAGCTGAAAATGAATATGGGCAATAAAGTGTATTAAATCTTTATCAGAAAGATTGTATGACACATTCTAATAAACCAAGAAGGTCCTAATTTCCTGTCCTGGTTTGTTTTAATTCCAGGCCCCTCCTCCACACCCCTGTTTACCCTTAGGTCCGGACCTCGGTACATTTTTCATGTTCAGAAATAAGATTTATTCTCTGAATGACGAATGTGCTATTTTGAACTCCTCATATGAGTGTATGCATGTTTAGAAAGACAGTTTACAAGAATGTTTAGCGTCCGTGTTAAGAAAATAATTGCTGCCAGACGCTGGCGTGGCGGAGTGAACGAGGCTTGAGAGAATTGTGATTGAGGACGCGGGCACAGCCAGCCTACGTGTTGCCAGATTCAGCTATTATACGCATGTTTGGTCTTGTCTTTTCCACTTAATTTGACGCTTTAGAAAGTTAACAAGTGGGGAGTTGTAGTTTAGGATTAGCGATATATTTATCTTATCTTATTTGCAAAAGATTTGAAATACATTTGTTGTGTTTTTTTTTTATTTTTACGGGTTTTATTTGTTTTTATAGCAATATCTGGCAACACTAATCGCCGGCACTTAAACTGACAGTAATCAAAAAAGCCCACGGACAGGTTATTGCTGACAGGATACCACACACGGTAAGGCAAAAAAAAAAAAAAAATCATGATATTATCTGTTAGAAAAAAAAAACAGTAGCATTTAACACTAGTAGGCTACACAGATCTGTAGGTTGGAGAATTTAATGAAATGTGCAAACACTAGCCATGAAGAAGTCTGCTATTTCTTTCAGTATAGTAGTTACATTTTCTCAAAGTCATGCTAAAAACATTCATAAGAGCACTAGACAAAGTTATTATCTATATAGCAATGGTTATTAATGATAACAGTAAAATGCATTGTTGCATGAATAATAAACTACTGATAAAATTATCCACCCCTAACTTATAGTGAAATATAAACAAATTTTGATGCAATAAATATGGTATAATTTAACAATGTTCATCATATAATTTAACAATGTGAAAGAAAACATCTTTCACAAACATCATGTCTGTCTCCTTTGAAGTGTTTCGTGTATATAATGAGTTGTGTTTGTAAGGGTTATTATAGCACAATTCTTAACCCCATCCCAGACCTCACTAATTTTCAAACCCTGGCTATGGCCATACCACCATACATGCATACATATAGTCTTTAGCTGTACGGTACCTACAGTGGACAATATGGGTTTTGCTGATGTTGAATACACAGCAGCATAACCTTTACACTGAGCTCACATTACCCCAATGGACTCTGCACAGAAAATAAGATTAGGATTGATCCCCATGGAACCTGGTACAAATTGGCCCCCAGTCTGATTAGGAAAATAAGCAAATATTAACTACAAGCTTTAGAAAGAGTATTTGTTGAAAACATGTCATCCGAGAGAAGCACAGACCTCACGTCATAGCTGGTGTTTGTGTGTAGCCATGTGTGAGAAATCAATACGAGAAACTTGCAAAAGAAATATTGTACATTGTTTTGTCTCCCCATAGCAGTTGCAACTGTTTCTCAATAGCTCTGCTAATTTGTGTTCATCTACTTTGTTCTATGCTGTCTTAAAATCAGCCAACATATTTTCGCACAGTATGATTAAACTACATACTTTAAAGTAGCTCTGCAGACAATTATATGGAAATCTTGATAGTTTATAATGTTTTAGTGATCTCATCATGCTAATTTGTAAGGTTCACTGTACTTACAACCTACCAAATAGATTGACCGAATGGTCAGTGTATCAGGTTTTATGCTACAACGTTTGTCACAATGATAAGTGATGATCTACACTTTTAACAATAAAGGTGCTTAAAAGGTTCTTCACAGTGATGCCATAGAAGAACCATTTTTGGTTCCACAAAGAAACATTCAGTCAAAGGTTCTTTTAAAGAACCATCTCTTTCTTACCTTTTTATAATCTGAAGAACCTTCTTTTGCCACAAAGTGACGTGACATGACATGTGGCCAAGTATGGCGACCCATACTCGGAATTAGTGCTCTGCATTTTAACCCATCCAAAGTGCACACACACAGCAGTGAACACACACACACCGTGAACACACACCTGGAGCAGTGGGCAGCCATTTTTATGCTGCGGCGCCCGGGGAACAGTTGGGGGTTCGGTGCCTTGCTCAAGGGCACCTCAGTCGTGGTATTGAAGGTGGGAGAGAGCGCTGTACATACCCTCCCCCCACCTACAATCCCTGCCGGTATGAGACTCGAACCCACAACCTTTGGGTTACGAGTCCGACTCTCTAACCATTAGGCCACGACTTCCCCAAAGAACCTTTTGTGAAACAGAAAGGTTCTTCAGATGTTAAAAGTTCTTTATGGGACCATTTAGACAAAAAGGTGCTTCTATGGCATCGTGAAGCACCTTTATTTTTAAGAGTGTATTGTCAAGTTGAAGTCTAAAGTAGTAGTCAAACAGGATAAGAGAAGATAACATTGTCGTTCAGAGAGAGAAATGTTAAGCAATATTCAGTACTCTCATTCACAGCTAATATCTAGAATAGTGAAGAGTTGTAAAGATAAGGTAGGAACTATATGTTAAGCTGTTATTAGTTTAAAAAAACCTTAGGTGGGAATGTGATGCTGATGTGGACAGCAGTGATGCTTATTTTCTAACAAAAGTAATACATACAGAGGATGGAATTATTATTATTATTTATTGACTGACGAATTTATAGGAAAACATTTAATTATTCTAAAAAAAAAACTGTTTTATTTAATTTGTAATACATAACATATATTTATATATAAAAATGTAAATAACCTAAAAGTTAAAATATAGGCCTACCAATCAAATAAAACAAGTAGCAACAATAATAACAATAAACAATAATGTAACAATATATATCTGTTTAATTATTCTTAACCTTTAATTAAGATGTTAATTTTACTTGACTTTTTAATACACTGTAATATTACAATACAGATTATTGTAAAGGCAAATACTAAGAGTAATATGTGATTTAGTTAGCATGGTGATGATAGAAGAAGAATTAACTGAGGCCAGAGATCAAGAAAATGATTTATGTTATGCTGATCTGGTCTGTTCCATCTAACCCTCCTCACATGGTTCCTCTTCACACAAGACTGACATATACTGATTTATCATGGTTGTGTTTCAGAGGGCAAGTGCTTGGGCATTATTGGCTCACACACAGACAACACCCACTCCCTGATTGGATAAATGGGTAGGAGGGAGCGTTGGGGGTGGGGAGAGGTTGTAAATTAAACTGTCCTTTAATGTGTTGTTCCAAGAATGGCTTCCCTGTTAAAACCCACCCCCAATTATTCAGAATTTGGAGTCTCTATCAGTTATTTACTGTGTGCCACAAATTTCTATATATATATATATATATATATATATATATATAGTGATACACTTTTTGTGATCAAATATGCACATATGCATACATGACTCCACATAGCCTTCTATGGTCTCTGTTGAATGAATGCCATGGTTATAAAGAGAGCTGAAAAATAAATCACCAGTAAGCTATCACTGAATATTCTCAGTTTAATATAAACCAGTGATGCTGTTCTAAAAGAGCTGTCTTAGAAGGCATGAGGTTTGTGTGCACTAAAACACAGGAGGTTGTCCTGGGCGGATTCTCTCAACCAACAGACATGCTTGGACTGTTTGCATTGGCTTGTGGTTGTAAACTTCTCTAATAGCGACATCTCTTGGACAAAGTGAGTACTTGTTGAGAAGAATGAGAATTCTAAATGAGAATTAAGTCATCGAACATTGGGTTTGAGTCTCGTACCGGCAGGGATTGTAGGTGGGGGGAGTGAATGTACAGCGCTCTCTTCCACCTTCAATACCACAACTGAGGTGCCCTTGAGCAAGGCACCGAACCCCCAACTGCTCCCCGGACGCCGCAGCATACATGGCTGCCTACTGCTCCGGGTGTGTGTTCACGGTTTGTGTGTGTTCACTGCTGTGTGTGTGCACTTTGGATGGGATAAATGCAGAGCACTAATTGCGAGTATGGGTCACCATACTTGGCCACATGTCATGTCACTTCACACTAAGGATGACATGCAGAGGAATGCTACTTTAGTCATGCCTATCACCATATAACCAAGAGACTTTGCTATTGTTCTTGACGCATTTTCAAAGAGTATATGTTTTTTAAAGAAATCCTACAACACAGGATTTATCCAGTTAAGCATGTTTTAAACTGAACATTTCAAAAATAATATATACCGGTTATTTTTTGTCAAATAAAGTATTTGATTTTGTGGATAGAAAAAAAGAAACAATTCTTCATTTGTTTTATCATTGTGTTTACTCAGAATTACTTTGGAAAGATTTATATTAACAGAAACTGCACTCTTAAA